TTATTGAAGTAGCTTTTGAGTTTCCTGGGAGAATAAGTCAAGGAAGTTGACTTTTGTTTGGCGAGACTTCTTTGTTCGTCTGCGCCACTCGATCCAGAACCATATTCCAGCAGGGACGAATGTCATGAACATAAGCGGGAGAGTGACTTGGAGAAATCTATCCAAAGCTATTTGTGAGAAGATCTCGCCTTGCTGATATTTGACTACATCAGTGCTGAAGAATGTCTAGCTGACGGTCAGTGATATTACGCAATCCTTGATTTTGAGGGGAGGCTCACGCTGGAGAAGGTTGCTGGAAGGTAAATCAAAGTTACAATAGTTACAATGCGAACCGCGATTGCCTCCATGGCACTTTGGTCTGCTTGCTCGTACATACTTGCAGTAAGCTTTGAGGATATGATGGCGTTCTGTGTTTGAAGATGTTGGATGAGCTGTGATAGTTTTCTGGTCAGTCTAACTCAATGCTCAAACCTAGCTAGGTGGCTCTTACAATTGTTTTCCGGTCTGCTACTACCTTCACGAGATTTTTGGTCCTCGATATTTGCATGTTTGCTTCGCATATTAACTCCTCTAATTGCGAGGCAAACTTCTTCACTCGTTGCAAGCATACGTGACGGTCTCCCTTTGGAAAGTTCTCGTCCTTCAGCAAGTCCCGATAGAACTTTTGTAGCAACTTCATGATGTTGGCATTGGACTCCATGGCCATCACGGCATCACTGGCCTTTTCTTCCCACTTCTGTACGTCACTGAGAGACTCCGGCTCTAGGTGTTCGATGTGTGCTCTCTCTCTGACTCGAGCTGGCTTGGTCTGAAAGTTTTGAATCAGCAGGGAACCTATGTCGGGGAGTCGAGGTTCTCATAAACTCACCAATTCTTCCGCGCCTTGTTCAAGGAACAAAATATGCCATCGCCACTCAGAGGCTGCCCATTGTGCGAATTCGAGATGTATGTCCAAGGAGGATGCAAATCCTTGCTGCATTGTGCTGAAACTGGTTGGGAAGCTGTGCCCTTCTGGGAATATCTCCCCTGTACGCTCCTTGAGCACGGCGTGGGGGTCTCCTACAATCCACATCTGGGAACCCTGGCCGATGTCAAATTGATGATGGACAGCCGCCTGACGAATCTTCCAGCATACCCTGCTCTTCTGCGCTACAGTCTTGAGATTGAAACAAAGCTGATATCTTCTGCCGCTCCTCCCCAGCTCTGGTATGATTGTGTCTGAGATCGGGTTGCTCAAGACCGTCTCTGTTTTGAACCCGCTAAAACGAAGCTCTTTGTCTCTACCATGTGGCGATGCATATATAGAAAGGAAATCCAAGAATTGAGGCATGACTTGGTAGAAAGTCAGTAGACGAAGCAACATTCTGACATGTACTTCTAAAGGTCCAAGTGCGGTTTCTGCACACAAATATCTATTGAAAGTTAGTGAAACCCAGACTAATAACACCGGGAAAAGTCTACTTAGACACTATAAATAAGAGGTAGACTCACACAAAACGGCATCGAAATTGTGGCGTTCGGATCAATGCGGAAGCACTACCACCTGTGGCTGTGGTCTCAGGAATTCCACCGAGAAGATTGCTCAATTCATCATCGTTGAAGACGTTGAGCTTTTCGACCTTTCCATCATCAAGTATATCTCTTACTGGCAGTGTGACCTTCCTTCCGTCAGGGATGCAAATATGCTCTCTGACTTCACTCAGTCTGCTTAGGGCAGCTCTGCCGTATGTTGTAGTTGCAAGGTATCCTGCGGGGTTGCGGTCGAAATCTTGATACAGTGTGGGAAACTTCAAAGCTGAAGCCATGGTATCTACTCCATAGATGTCTCTCTAGTTTAAGAGGGTTGGTAATCGAGGGTGTCTTCGACTTGTGAGCAATATTTCTGAGTGACTATGCGTAGACATTCGATGCTCTCTCGCATAAGTGTCGAGGATATCCAACTCCAACTTGAAGGATGTGGACGATTTATTAGATCTTCTAATCCACCTTAAGATTCAGGATACCCTGCCTCCCTGTGTGTGCCTAGGTCAGATGAGTGTTCTTCAGAAATTTTGACAATGCTCCGCCTCCCCGATGACCCAGGTTGACGCGAGGCTCTCCAGGCTATCTACCCATTCGCAGCTCTCGTCCCTAGTCACCTTGTAGGGGCTGAGAGATCTCGATAGTGCGTCAGTGTCTTTCACCGAAGCCCAGCTTGGGATGACTGGCATGTTGGTGCCCTGCAGTGTGACCACATTTACGCGCTGTGGCGTACCCCAAGCGGCTTGGATTGGACTGTACGGTGAGCACATGGACCAATCAATCTTGAGCAAGGGTTTACATTTTTCATTTCGAACTCATAATCTTTGGGTAATTTTGAAGAGAGGGTCCCATAGACATCGCCTCCGGCCCCTTCAAGAACAACTCAAGTCATCCCTCAATGGCACCCATCAGCCTATTCAGCCCCTTGAGCCCCGTCCAAAATCCAAATCAAATTGCCGCTGAATAATCGGGGGGTCCGGAGTTCTGGCTCTTGTCTCATTCTGCCTATTTTTGTCCTTCTCTGCTGTCTCTCGCAAATTCTTATCTATGTATGTTCGCTCGTGCTTGGCCAGATTAGCTTGTCGTATGTCGTAGTGGCATAGGGAATATTGCTACCTACATCCTGTAATTGCCGAGGCGCGTAGAAAATGAACTCATCGTCTCGCAAGTTCTGGGAATGTGAGCTTTTCTTCTCTCAATCAATGTTCGTACATTACGAAACCACTGTGATCAGAAACGAACCTGGCTTTCACTGAATTGGCCACCTTCCTTCTTGAAGGTATCACACAACCATTGTCGTAAGATGGGCCATCTCAGATTGTACGCATACACGGTCTCCAGAATCCATCCGCTTGGAGGCGGAAAGGTTGTAGCCCGCATAGGTGCCGGCATGGTCTGGGTTGGCTCAGATCTTCTCCAGCTGAATCTTCTCGTCTGTGTGTGTGCTGTGTTTTGCGAAGGCGACATGACAGTGGAAACCAAACCCCGTATCAGGCTGTATTAAGTGATTATCGCGGCGAAGCGCAAACCAGCAAGAAGCAGGCTGTCGGGCGAATTCCCTTATAGGAGGTCGATTTTGCCTCTCCAAAGCAGGCTGCGGCGGGGGCAGTGAACCGGGAGGGTGTCGAAACCATGGGGTGAAATTTCGTACCTCAGTCGCGGGTGGTGCTCTCTTATGAACCCGCGGTCTGACCAACAAAAGGAGATCCGGCGCCTACCCTCGCGCAGGCAGGTGTCTGGGGCGAAAAAAAGCCAGCAGGCTGACAGCAGGCGTCCATCTGCCTTACATCGTCCATCTGCAGTGCCTTATGGTGAGCTCATATCGGATTATCCAATCAAAACAATGGCGCAACACCTTGCAACTTCACAAGACGCAATAGCCAGTAGCGAACTATGAATTGATCACCATCATTGAGCCGCACCAGGGCGAGGGTCAGACTTTGTGCTTCTCCGATCATGGGTCCTGGCGCTTGATCCCGCAGTTATTGAGCAGTGTTTTCAACCTGTTGATACATACACGCTCTTTGAAGCTTAGGCGACATCAATAGGTGAAGAGGAATCATGCGTGGAATAGGTGCAAAAGTCATCGAACTGAAACAGACTACACATTCTTCCATTACTTGGATACAGTAATGCGATTTCGATATTTGCAATTGATATCCTTGAGATTGCAGCTACGGTCAAGGGGCGCTTGAGTGCACAACGAAGATACGATGAGTCATCAGAGAACGGGTATGATTTACCCTGACAGGAAGATAGGAAGTAATTATGAATGCCAGGCAGCCGGAGGTGGTGTGATCGAAGCGTTGAGAAAAAGCAGGGGGGTATAATATGAGGAGGTGTGTATCTCTGGTCCGCGACCCTTCTTGTGATGGATGGTAAGGTCGAAAGTCGAGAGGGGGGTAAGGACATAGGACCTCCCACTCAGGTGATAGCAGATCCTGCAGCCACCAGGTTGTACTTCTCCACCCTCTTGTCTCAAAACACCATGGCTATGTCGCTTTTTAGTCCGACGACTGTCCGCTTTTGATGTGCCTAAGGTGATCTTTCTTAGTCATGCATCTAGAGATTGATAGGATGCAGAGCCAACAATTTTAGCGAGGACGATGTCTTCAGTGGGCGAGCACCATGCCTAAACCTTGAGGTCATCTTGACGGTCACTGGTTATTTGGCAAAACGCCATCCTGCATTACTGCGAGAATATGTGTGCAGACCTAGCTTGGGGTAGCTTCAGCCGCATATCCGTGAGTAAGGTAGCGGGCGCCCTCTGCCGAGCCTTTCTCCTGCAAAGGCCCAGTACCCAGATCGAGGCCATCACCCCTCGTTTCCACTTCACCCCGCCGGAGCCTTCTCTGTTCATATTGCAGGTTCCTCCCCATATGACCTCGCTCTGCCTCGCAGATTGATCTCTCTTCCTTAATTCCTGTTCCGTCTTGTTTCCTCGACCAAAACCTGCCCCTCAACTTCTGTCACCCAAAAAGTTTTTCAAGTCCTACTGTAGGTGTCGTCAAGCTTTGATTACTGCCATGTCCTCTGGTCAAGAAGCCTTTGCGCAGGAGTTCCAAACGGCCCTGAAAGAGTTCCGTGAGCTTCGCAAGCAAGAGACGAGAGTTGCAGCTTGTGGGCGAAGCTTTGTATTGGTGAGCAACGTCACAGCAAGGCTCACACAACGGTCTATCAGTTGCTCAGACGATTACGAAAACGATCTAGACCGGCTCAGACAAACAGCTTACCTTCGCCATGGGCCTGATCCTCCGCAACTGCAACGGGACCACTACTACGAACACCTCGCGGTTTTCTACAACCTTCTAGATGTTGGCGCACCGAATCTGATTCACGAATTTTGGAACAACAATTTCAACCTTCTTCCTATTGATCGGGACAAGTTGCGAAATCATATACGAGCACCGCCTGGGCTCCCAAGCTTCCACGATGACTTCCATCGCAATCAATTTGCGTGGTGCCCAATTCACTTCAAAATGGATATGGGTGGACCTCATGGGCTTGGCATAATCAGTCCGTTTTCACGCAAGGAGATCATTATGCCGTATCGGGGCGGAAAAGTCCCTCGGGCCAACACTGCAACGTTGTACGCCATTGACGTGCTCGAGGAGCTCGTAGACCCAGACCTACAAAAGCAAATGGCTAGCGCGAAGATAGAGAGGCAAGAAGGCGGTGCATGTGACGGAAGCAAAGGGAAGGTTTGTCGTCCTGGCTATTTTATCCGTGAGTCGGTATGACTTTAGAAAACTGACGGCGAAACAGCGATACCGCTTTGCGTTGAAACAGTTTGAAGCAGCCAAGAAAGACCACTTTTTCAACGAGAGACAGATGTTCAGAAACCTGAAAAATCAAGACGGAATGATACAGTACATTGGCTGGTTCAAAGGCTTCGAACCTGATAATGAGGGAGGGTTCAAAGAGTACTACAATATCGTGCTGGAGCTGGCAGCTTTTGACTTTTACACAGCAATTCGGGAGGAATCGCCTCCAATCTCCGTCGCAGAAATTTCAGATTTCTGGCAAGCGATGTCAGAAATCTCAGGAGCCCTGGCATCGATACACACGGTGGAGATTGACGGGAGAGAGTATTTAACGTAAGTGATTATTCAACACCGCAGGCTACGTAAAGTATATCCTGATCTTTTAACTTTTAGATGGCATGGCGACATCAAACCACAGAACATTCTTCGAGTCAATGACCGCTTCAAATTGGCAGATCCTGGAGAAGCTAGCATGCAACTCAAAACGACTGGCATCACTGAACCTCAGAAGATCAAATCAGCAGGCGGTACAAGAACATATGGTGGGTTTGCATCCAAGGAAATCTCGAAACTCCTTAGAAGTTTTACTAGCTTTTTGGGCCTTCGATGCGTAGCTGTGCTGACCAACTCTGCTAGCGGCTCCCGAGAAGGCGGCTTTCTTGGATGGGTTCAGCCAGAAGAAGCCAGACGTTCCTCAGACAAGCGATGTCTGGTCTCTTGGGTGTGTCTTCTCCATCGCAGCAACATACGTTGTTTTGGGCCAGCAAGGAGTCCTCATATTCAATCAGTTGCGCAGAGAGGCCATTTTCAACGCAACGGGGAACTCTAGTGATGCCTTCCACGATGGGGAAAACGTTCTAAAGGAAGTTCAGTACTGGCACACATATCTCAGAGAGGCCACTAGAAGGACCGACGCCTACACAGACACGATTTTGAACATCGTGGACAATTTCATGCTGGTCCCGGGTGAGTCTCGATGGACGGCAAAGCAAATCTGGAAAGAGTTCGACGGATTCTTCACCAACATCAAAGCCGAACGGTCTGCCGTTCCAAAAGGCTTACATGATCTACTTCAAAACATTGATCTCCGCTCTGAACAGCTGTACGACCAGCATTCAGGAATCCGAAGAGTTGATTCCGACGATACAAGTAAAACACCCAAGGTGGTACCAAGCTTGCCCCGTACCGACATAGAATTCGAAAGCCGGGAGAAGCTTCTGGAGCAAGTGATACAGCCGGTTGCGCAGCGATCACAGAATCGAAACGGGTCCCCCACCCAATCAAGACACCCGTCAATCAGTTTCCATCCTGCACTGGACACCAGGACTAATGGTCAAAAGTTTCCCAGAGAAGTTGGAAAACAGAATGTCACAGCCCAGCAACTACCCAAGGCACTACAGAAACATGCTATCGACACATCATCGACGCCAGATCAGCCAAACCTCTCTTTGCCGCCCTCCAACCAGAGCCACGATCGGGACCTGATCACAGTATGGAAGGTTGAGCAAGAGCTTCAGAAGAATGGTCTAGAGTGGAGGCCTTCTATCAGAAGCTTCAGGTCGCTAGTTCAAAAACAAGAGACGACAGTCAGAGGCAAGAGCAACCTCGAGCTTTTGGACCAGCGCTTGGAAACCGAGTTCAAGGACCGAGACATTGTAAGCCCATCATTGTTTCAACTGATCTTTCCTTTCATTGACATAGTCAGGTCTATCTTGTCGACAATGGATCAACGATGTCAGGTCATTGGACCCAGGCGAGTAACCTCCTCAAGGTCCTCGTCTGGCGGTCTATTGGATACGACGACAACGGCATGGAACTGTACTTTACGAATCCCGACACCCCAGCCAATGCAAGAATAACTGAAACGATGGAACAGTCAGTCAGTACGTTCGTCACAGCCATGAAGAATGCAGAGCCTAGCCAGTCGCGTCATGTTAAGACTACAATCGTTCCGGAACTGGCTCGTATCATCAACGGCTATACTAGAGCGATGACCTCGCAGCGCCCACCACGTCCACCACGTAAAAAAACCATCATTGTGCTTACTGATGGGATATGGGAGGGGATGCAAATGGAGCACACTATCGATATCCACCTACGATCAACTTTCCATGAATTGAAAGACTTACACGGGGACTTGTCCTATGTGCAGCCAGGAAAGTCTGATGACCAGGTTGACATCTCGGAAATCCGACCTGTGACCATCCAGTTCGTCCAATTTGGCAACCACCGAAATGCGACCGAGAGATTTCGACGATTGGACGATGATATGGAGTTATATGGATGCCCGTAAGTACTTTCTCGAAGCCCTTCGCAAGCTTCAAAGCCCACCCTTCGCAAGACCTGCATTTCCTTCTGAAGTTTTCTTTCGCTGACTAGCCACCGCAGTGATCTGATCGACACTGAAAGTGCCGATGGTGATGTCTACAAGATGTTCCTCGGAAGCTTGTGCAAAGATATTGACGGAATGATGCAATCAAACCTTGGCCCAGCTCTCTCTGCCGTCTCCAGCCTTGAAAGGTCATCGAGCCACTTGGACAGGGGGCGAAGCTTCCGACACCAGGACTCCGAGGATACATTGCCAACATCTCAAGTAATAGGAGCAGATCATGTCCTCACGGAAGCTTCGAATCAGTTGAGCAATTCGTCCGTCGACCAGAACCGGTCGCCCCAGTCTGCATCACAACCTCCGCAGTTCCCTAGTTTCTCTAGCGAGTCACGACAGTCGAGCTTTCCCAACCCCGCGCAAAGGTCGGCGACAATCATGTTAACAAGTCCAGCCTCACCGCGTTCTTTATCTTCCCCTGGAACTCCAGACTCTGCACGGTCGTCGCAGGCTCACGAAAATACTCAAACGCGATCACCCACGTCACCAACGTCTATTGCATCATCGCCTTCGCCAGCGAGATCATTATCGTCTCGCTTTTCGCGATTATTATCACCACGTTAAGCGCCGTTTTGGTGCTCGCGTAACACGCTTGAAAACCGATGGGCGACGGACCCAATCTCTGCACACATGAGGGTAGTTGAATAGAAAGGGAAGTTCACGGGGGTCAATAACTTGGCGTTGAGGAATTTTGTTCATATGCCGACTATTCATGCTTTCAATGAATGTTTTAGCAGTCTGCCCATTTAAGACACCATTTCAGAAGCGAATATGTATCATGGCGGAGGCGTTCGATGTGGATACTTAGTAGCCAGTCCCAAACTATGAAGCAACTCATCTCACACATTGAAGGTGTTCCTGATTCACATCTGAGACCATGGTTAGATGTCCAAATCCACAAAGTGTCTTTCTAGGATGAGACGAACTAGAAGAGCCAAGACTCCGTGTCGTCGCCCCGCGGCTGCTCAACGTTATTTCTTCGGCATCTCATGACTTCGTCAAAGGCCGTCTCATCAACTAACCGTCTACAAGGCTACCTCACAAGATCTCCGACTTTGAGCCGAAGTCTAGGATTCTGGACCTTGATCACGAGTATGGATCATTGAAAATTTTCAGCAAAGCAAATTTAGCTTTCATGTAACGATCGTCGGGATTAATGTCGCCGCCACTTAGTCTCGAGACAACTTGGCTTCCTCTCGGACCGGGCAAGGGACTCGGATTGAACGCTCTACTTCGGCTGAAGTCATTGACCTATGCAATGTATCCTGAGCTGGACATATTTTGTGTCGTAGACAGCGTGCCTCATCTCGGGGAAACCCAGTGCAGAAACGTTCAAGATGAAAGCCGCTGTGCACATTTTTTTTTCATTTACTTGCGCAAGACAGTTCTCCAGCTCCAAGTAGATTCGTGACCTCAAGCTCGTACACTTTGCTTCACATTGGGAACTAGGCAGATCATGATGTGAAAGGTGACGAACACCTAGTTTGCTTGTTTCGTGCTATACACCCCAGTGGAACATTTGCCACATGTTCTTCGTGTTCCTGAACCCATCCAACGCAAGCGCGTGCTGTACGTCTTGAACCCAACCAGCCATCCAACCCATGTATGTACATGTCTACGGGACGAACCCTTTCGTCTTCCCAGAAAGCGTGAACAGCCCTTCCTAAAGTCCCCAACACCTTGCAAGAAAAACACGATATTGTAAAATTCCAAAAAAATGAAAGGCAGAAAACTCTCCTTGCAGAGAGGAAGACAACGCCTGTGTACCACAACGGGACCGGGGGAGCGACGGTTGCCATTCCGCTCGCCTCCCACCACCCCTTTTGATCCATCCGCTGGAAACTGTTTTGGTCGTCCAAAAACGTGGCCGTTTGTGTGTGTGTGTGTGTGTGTGTGTGTGTATATACAGCAATGATTTCAAGGCCTCGGTTGCACCACCGAAAGGCATTCGGCTCTTGATGCGCGAAATGCTATCACCGCATTCCACTGAGCCATTGTGAAACGTATCTCGACCTGACCGATTGAGAAAGATAAAAATAGAAATAGGTCGCCATCGAAAAAATTCTGGAAGTGACTGAGAACCGAAAAGACGGAGCATAGAAACGAATCCGGCTGCGCGGGTGTGACCCAGCGAGTGTTTCCACCCGGCCGAAAACACTGGGCAACCGTGTTGGTACTGATCATGATGTCATGACATGATTGCTGATGGAAGGAAAGTCATTCTCGCTTTTTTTTCGTGATATCTTTTGTTCTTTTTCCTGAGTCGACCTTGCAGAGGTCGCGTGGTGGAGGGCGATATTGGGCAGAGCCGCGTCATGCAGAAGGTCAACTAAAAGTCGGCCCAATGAGCGCCTGAGCGCGGCCCAACAGCCCAAGATCTCAAACCCAATCACGATTCGCGGGAGAGAGTGCGACAAGAGTGACACGATTGTGAAAGATTCCGAAATTAAGAAAGAATTAAATCCGTAAGAATTCAAGAACGTTCCCAATTAGTCTTTAGTAGGCAGTGAAGCCATCATAGCTCTCCGCAGTAAGCGGGTCCTGGTGGTAGTTGGTGGGTGTGACGGTGTTTGACGACGAGATGGAAAAGGCCGTCTCGTGCGACAGACCGTTGTTCATTGGCGAGTTCTGACCAAACGGGGAAAAGGCAAAGGCTTCCGACGCGGAGGAGAGCGGCATGTTGGAAACAGCCAGGTACGAGGCCTGGGTAGTGTCGATCGCCGCCAACTCAGGCATGTGGTAGGACTGCGGGAAACCCATGTCGTAGGTCATGTTCTCGCCCATGTGGCCAAGAGACAGGTCCATCGACATGGAGGGGTCGAACTGTTGGGCAGTGGCCTGAGTCTCCTCTTCGTCTTCCTCTTGGGCCTCACCCTCAGCGACCTCGTCGTCGGCAGCCACAAACACCTCTTCCATCCACTGCTTGAGCTCGTTCATGGGGGGCCAATCGCCACCGCCCTTGCCGCCGCGCTTCTCCTCGTCGTCGCCCCGCTTGTTCTTGCCACGGGGAGTCTTGGGCTTGAAATGCGTGCGGCGGAGATGAGCTGCAGCGTTGTAGTAAGCGCCGTATTGCTTGCGGGCAACGCACTGCTTGCACTTGGAGAGCGGGTTGATGGCCTGGACACCACTCTGCATGCCGACCGTGCTGGGGTCGCGGCATACAAACTTCTTGACGATGCCCTCGTGCTTAGCGTTGATGTGTCTGCGCAACTCGTGGTCGCCGCGGAAGCCGTCGGGATGATCGCTGCACATGTCGCAGAACACCTTGGGGTGCTTGGGACGAGTATAGCTACCCTTAGAGACAGCGACCTTGCCTTCCTTCTTCGCAGAAGCCGACTGGGACTTGACAGCGTCGTGAGGCTTGGGGCAGATCTTTGTGCGATTCGCATTTTGGATCTGCTGGAGGCGTGCTTCTTTTGCCCTGCGCTCGGTGCTTGACTTGGTGGATGCGTTGCTGGTAGCGGAAATAGAGCGCTCCATCATGGAAGAGCCTTGGCTGAGGAACTGCTCATCGATGGGCGACTGTTGAGGATATTGAGGCGACAGGCTAGTGCCTGCGCCGACGTAGGCGAGATAGTCTGACTTATTCGGCGACGTGCCGGAAGGGACAGCGTAAACCTCGGGGGACATGAAGTCAGCAGCACCTTGGGAGTGTGCCGAGTTGATTCTCGTCATGCCGAACGCGCCGCTAAGCGACTGGTTGTCGAAAGAGCTGTTCTCCCTCGTAAGAGGCATAGTCTCGGCAGCCGATGTGCCAGAGCTCATGGACGGGCAAACCGAGTTGATGAGGCTGGCCTGCGAATTCCGTCCATCGTAGGGCGTCAGGAAGTTCTGCGGCGGCGGGACCATGGCTGGAGACGGTATACTCTCGTCTTGCGCAGCGAGGAAGTCGAGAGGGTTCATGCCGACCTCTGGGAAACCTGCGTTCTCCTCGACAGGCGAAAGGCCCGAGTGGCGTTTATTTGTTGGCGATCGCTGAAGGGATGACTCGAACAGGACATGAGGGTCATCTTGGCTTTGGTAGAAGCGGTCCATCATGGGGTTAGGGTTATTTGACGTTTGGAGGGGTTGTAGAGGGCCCTTGACGACAAAAGGGATAGACTTTTCTGATCTGTTGGAAGCACTTCTAGACATGCCCGTCATGGGCGTGGCGCGGGGGTGCTGCTGGGACATGACCCTCGCGCGCTTTACGGGATGGGGCGAGTCATCACTTGTGCGCTCCTGGAAGAGATTGTTAGCACGGGCACTTGGTTCACGATGGTCACGAGCAGTGATGATGGTGATGGGAGCTGTGGTGGTGCATTACCATCATTCTTGTGGGTTGGGCAGCGTAGCCCATATTGGACTTGCTTCTGGGTATTGTGGCCCTGCGGTTGAGCAGAGGAGCAGCATTGGGCTGTTGGTGTTGTGTGAAGGCGGCGGCGTCTACATGGTAGTCCCCTTGTGATGGGAGCAGGTTGAAATTGCTCTGGGCAGCTTGCGGTGCTACTGATGCATTTTGCTGAAGAAGAAGGTTTTGGAGGTTTGCCAGCTCTTGTTGCTTCTGTTGCATCTGCCTCTGAATCTCCTGGACGTTATTGTAAGGATGGTTCATGTTGACTCAAGTCGGCGGAGAACAGCGGGGTGATGGGCGAAGAAGCTAGGGTGGGTATGGTATGGTGAGGAAGAGTGAAGCGTGTCGGGCTACCACTCGGTTGAGGAATCCAAGGCCGTCCGAATCAAGACGGAGGGATAGAGTGTGGTGTTAGACGTCGGTAGTAGACGAGGTGTGATGTGACACGATGTTGCTGCAGCCTCGTTCTTCTTTCTCCAACGCATTCAAGGTCTCCCGAGTGACGAACTTATGGAAACCAGGCGGGGAAAATTAATTGTTTTGCTGGGAGCGAGACAAGCAAGAAAAAAACGCTGTTGTTTGGTTCTTGGTCTTGTCTTTCTATGTAATTTGGCTGGTGCTGCGCAGCGAAACAATAAGACCCGGCGGGAGTCAAGATTTGTTTCCTGGTATTCGAGACTCTTTTGGTGGATTGTTGGGGGGTCTCGAAGATTTGTGCGAGCAGCAGGATTCAAGGTTGACTTGACTTGAAGTTTGGCGAGGCGGGTTGAGGCGAGTTGATGTTCGATGGTGCAGGGAAGTCTGTGGCTTCGAATAGGAAGACGATCGCAGGAGATTTCGGGAAGGCGGACGGCGAGAGGCCAGTGGTTTAAAGAAGTCGACAGGATCAGCAGCGCAACGAATGTCCAGTCATGGAAGTGAGGCTTTGCGGCGTCTCCACAGCGAGCTGGTAATGTCGGTGGAACAGGAAAGACAGAGCACGCTAGACGAGCAGGGATGGGGGATGGAGATGGATGTGAGGGTGGATGAATGATGGTGGATGGGAAGGGGAGGGGAGGGGGGTGCGAGGATGTTGGTGTGTGGGTGGTCGTGGTGGGTGGTGGACGTGCGTTGCGTGTGTGTGTGTGTGTGTGTTGCGATGATGATGATGTGGTGGTGTGCGGGATGGATGGATGGGGGTGTGGGTGTTTCTGTCCAGTATCTTTTTGGGAAAACTGTGAGATGGTTTGGATTGGCCGAGGATTAAACAGCATT